AACATCTTAAGAAGTATGAGGTGAGTAGTATCTAAAACACATAACAGCAATAAGGCAACAGATAGTTATTTACATATGTTCTTACATGAATCTCATATGAATGTACTTACAAAATCAATGAAAACATTTCTATTTGTCTCACTGCATCAGTTGGCATTAAGATGGATGGGGGGACTGCAGGGGGCTAACAGGAATAGCATAACAGTCCAATAATATCTAAAGATATTGGAGTATAATTATAACAAACTGATATTCATTTAGTTTTGAAGTCTGTAACATAAGAGTAAGCAAATTTACTCAGGAAAAAGCATCTTTGCCTGTTTTATGGGGGTAACAATTTATGGGAATTTTGGTATACTGTATGTACTCTGTGTTTTGTGTTTATTTTTTAGAGTTTTTGGGACTAATATGAGTGGACCTGTAATACAATTATTACTTGGAAAATATTTGTACTATTTGTCTGCCTTGCTAATACAATGCTTCACCACTTAAGTGCGTAATTCTTTTATCGCATTTAAAAGTAAGAATATGATTTAATCAACCAAAAATATGAACACGTGGTCAATATAGGGTTCATTGATTTGTCATAAATATATCAAAAGAAAAGGAAAAATTGATTTTACTGGTACCAGGGATGACACAATCACACAACATTTTCATCCAATTGTTTTACATACAGTACATAGTTAGTCTATCTGAAACAAGACCAAAGTCCATCCAGTTCAACCAAAAAAAAAAAGTTATAATCCTATGCCCACAGTTGATCCAGAGGAAGGGAATGATTAAAACATACAAAAGAAAATCTTACGGAGAAACAAATCCCAAACATATGGTTATATCTCTCATGAATATTTCCATATTTTGATATGTAATGTTAGAATGTGGTACTTAATATGGCAGAAAAATGTTGCACTATTGTCATAAATATACTCTTAAACTTTTATAAATTATTAGGTTTGTTACAGTGTTCAGCATAAATGAGTACACCCCAACAGATTTGTCAGAAAACCTTTACTTTCCTTTCAAAATCAACATTTTCCATGGGACACTTTACTTCAAAATACTCCCACAGGGCGCATGCGCGGTGATCCAAGATGGCGGATGCGTGAGAGCTGTGCTCTGCCATCCCTCGGTTCTCCCAGCCCTCCAGCTCAACTTCTGCAGGTGTCACTGAGCTCTCCCACACAATGGGACATCACTAGGTACTTTGGAAGCTGCCCACGCCGTCTCCCCACTGGCCCTCCATGCTGGGACGATTTTTTCACTAGGCCTGCATTCCCAGCCTTGAGTAGTTGCAGCGGCCCGAGTGATTGCTCCAGGGGGTCCGCAGACATGAAGGGGACAGATGCAGAAGCTCCTGTTGCCCTGCTTTCTACTCCAGTGGTCCCTTCTTTGGCGGTGGATATCCTGGAGGACAAACTGAAAGTATTTTCACACAATATCACCCACACTATATCTGCTGAAATTGGGAAGTTGGCTCAGGAGCTTAGGGGGGAAATTACCCAGTTGGGAGACCGTACAGACCACCTTGAGTCTAAGTTTCATGAATTGGTGCAATATGTCCATGTCCTGGAAGAGGAAAATGCGACTAAACATTCCATGTCCGAGCTTCAGCAGGAAGACTTGGAAAACAGGGAGCATCACCAGCATATTCGTGTCCGTGGCATCTCTGAAACGGTCCACCTTCACCGTTACCTGCTGTCTCTGTTTGCCACTCTGGCCCCCAAAGTACCAAAAGCATATTGGCATATGGATCAGTCCCATAGGTCATTAGGCCCGAAAACCCCTGAGGGTACTAGGCCTAGAGATGTCATCATTTGCTTTCAGTACTTTGACAGCAAAGAAGTCTTAGTCTCTTCCACCTGTAACAAGTCCTCCCTGTAATTTAAAGGAGACAGACTTAAAATTTTCAGTGATTTTTTTCCCCCCACCACCTTGGCAAAAAGGAGTGCCTTGAAGCCGGTCACCACTCACCTCCAACAGCACTACAAGGATTCCCTTTCAAGCTAGTTGTCTCCAAAGACAATGCCCAAGTTGTACTTGTGATTTGCATGAAGCGGACTCCTTCTTTAAACAGTTGGCACTCCCTCCTCTGCCGAAAGAGGCCCTTCTGCAGCCTCCTACTTCATCCAGGTCCTCTACCACTCCACGCAAGACCTGGACACCTGCTAAAGCTGGGAAGAAGAGATTTCCACGTACTCCTCAACGTCCCCGGCTTCCTGGTTCGATTGGCCCCACCACCTGACTTTCTGACATACCAGGTCCACTGCCCTGTTAATTGAGTTTCTGAGCCCCTATGTGTGCCTTAGCAGTTTTCTTAATTGTTATGTCCTGCTTATAGCTGTTTTGTGAACCACCGAGGTAGGCACTTGCCATTTTGGGTCAGCTGCCGTGTTGCCCCCTTGTGCGTCAGGTTTTTAGACCTGACGACTTGGGATATTTCCGATATCCCGGGTATATATATCTTTGATGATATCTTTCTTTCTGGCCGTAATCCCTACGGCTTCTGTTTTGAGTGATATATTTGTTTATACTAGGCCTGTTGCCTTGCTAATCACCTGGTTCTCTATTTCTGTTATTCCCTATTTTGCCTCATCGATGACAATTCTGCTGTATACTCAGGTTTCACAGCTGCTACACTCCAAGTTTAGATCCTCAGGGGCAGTTGTCATTTTCATTCAAGCTCTTTTGGCTTCACCTCCAAGAGCTTTCCACAGTTCTACTTGGCTTTTGATCCCTCTGGGAAAGCCGGAGTAGCTATTTTGATCCAGAAAAACTGCTCTCTGAGGGTCTCCTCCTCTCGAGTTGACCCACTAGGTCATTATATCTTGCTGGAATGTATGTACAAAGGCTCTCCACTTGTGCTTTTGAATTTGTATGCACCCAACTCTGGTCAGCTGTTATTTCCCTCTCAAACCCTGGATAAACTGTGTTCCCTATCTACTCCATGCATGATTTCTTGGGGGGGGGATTTGAATCTGTTTATGTCCCCTCACAAAGATAGGAAGGTGCTTTTTGCGCCCACCCCATCGGAGAGACTATCCTCCTCCTCGACGACATTTCGTAAATTGATTAGGGAGCATCGCCTCTTTGACGCCTGGCGAATCAAACATCCTCTCCATAGGCAATTCACATTTTATTCTACTCCACATCGTATGTTCTCTAGACTGTATAATTTTTTTTGTCACTGCCCCCCTGATCCCTTTCTTGGTTTCCTCGGAGATCAACCCAATGACCTGGTCAGATCATGCCTCACTGTCACTTGCTCTTCTTACGACCTCCTCTCCTAAGGTTTGTCATTGGGGCCTCAATGAATGTTTCCTGCTCTCGGAACAACTTCGAGAGGAGCTCTCCCAAGGTTTGGATGCTTATTTTCAACTTAACACTGGTTCAGCATCATCATCCTAAACCTTCTGGGAGGCCCATAAGGCTGTTTTCAGAGGCCTCTGTATCTCTTTTTTCTTCCCATTTGAAGAAGGCCTCTGTTTGTGCTAGGCAATCCTTCGCTAAACGTCGATTACTAGACAATCCGTCTATACCTCAGCTTCAGAAAGTTTCCCATATATACGGAATCAAATTAAGGCTCTTGATCTGCTCAGTCCCTTGCCTGCACTAAGCAAAAATGAGTTCTCTAATAAACCACATCATATGCTTGTAAATAGACTTAAATCCCAAATGTCCCCCTCACTACTGGACCACCTCCTCCAGTCTGATAGCAAACCCACATATGACCCTCATGTTATGGCTACAGTATTTGGGGAATACTATGAGAAACTTTATAATTGCCTAGCCCCTGATAATCACCACCCCCCCTTCAGATGGCTGCTGTTGATGCTTTTTTTGGCTCCTTTCAAGTGCCTTGCTTGTTACCTTCCAATGTTACAACCATCAATGCAGACACCTCTACTGAAGAATTATTGGATGTTGTCAAACACCTCCCTTCTCTCACAAATCTCCAGGGCCGGAAGGTCTTCCTTACTCATATTACCAGTCCTTTATCGGCATCTTGGCCCCCCCCATCTCCTGTCCTTGTTCCGGGATCTCCTGAAAGGGGTGCATTCACATGACAATTTTACCCGCGCATACATTTCTGTGATCCCCAAGCCATATAAGGATCATTCCCTTCCGGATAACTATCGCTCTATAGCCTTACTAAATTCTGACTACAAGATTTTTATGAAAATACTAGCTAACATATTGGCCAAATGTATCTCCAAGCTTATACACAGAGATCAGGTGGATTTGTCCTGGCTAGACATGCCGCAGATAATACCAGGAGGACCATTGGCCTGAATGATCTAGTCAATAAGTCTCCAACCCCTACTCTCCTGTTCAGCTTGGATGCCCAAAAAGTGTTTGATAGACTAAGCTGGCCATACATGTTTCTAGTCCTGGAGAGATTCGGGTTTAGTGGTCCGTTTGTAGCTGCCTTAACCTCCCTGGCGGTATAATTATTTCAGATTTTGGCGCTGAAAGCGGTACCATTATTTTGCATGGAAATTTGGTGTTTTATATTGTAGGCCTGTAATTCTTCAGTGAGGAATAACTCACTGAAATTTGTCCGAACAAGAGTCTAGTAAACATCCTGGGTAGGATAAAACTTGAAACAGGAAATCATAAATTATAATTTAATAAATAATCATAAAAAATAATAATATAATAATAATAAATTAAATTAAATAATATAATCAAACCAAAAACACTGAAATTTGAAATATAGCGCCAAGTTCGCACATCACTGAGCAAAGTCGCAAAATCGTTTTCAGTGTCTGATGACTAATTTCCCCATGAATCATTATCACTCAATTCTGCAAGTAGTTGCTGTTCTCTAGCTGGTCTAAAACCGCTTTTGACCTAAAGGGACGCTTTTTGGACGCCATGGACGTTTCTCAGTTTCCAGGTAGAAAAAACAGTAAAAATGAAGGCAGGGCACAGGACAAAGCACTCGGGATAAAATGTATGTGAAATGGTTTGGTACAGTAATGTTTTACTATGTGATTTTAGTGATTTTTGTGAATGTCACCTTTTGTCATTTTCAAATTTCCCGCCGCTCCGTCCTCCGTACGTCCCGACGCTCGCAGAGGACGGAACCCAGATGACAGATGCCGGCATCCGCCGGATTACATTGCCGGGGACACTGCAGGAGGGACATCGCAGAAGCGCAGGACAAGGTAAGTGACCGAGGGATCACGGAGCAGCGCCGCATGGTAAGCCCGAGTATAGCTTGGGGTTTACTGCTTGTGGTACTGAAACTTTACCCAGAGCTACATTCGGGAATATCACCAGGGAGGGTAAAAGCCCTTTACTCCATTCCCTCTTCCCAGGTCAATTTAGCATTGTTTCTATCCCCTTCCTTTTGGATGTCCAATGGAACTCGCCAGGAATGCCCTCTTTCCCCCTTGTTGTTTATCCTCTGTTTGGAACCCCTGGCTATAGCTATTAGAACCAATCCGGATATCCATGGGATTCACACCTACGATAAGGACTTTAAACTGTCTTTGTTCGCTGATGATATCTTCCTGACATTGACGGAACCCCATGTTACCCTCCTGGTCTTACATCGAGCCCTACAGCTTTTTAGTGCACTGTTGGTTATAAGGTCAACGCGTCTAAAACTAAAGCATTACCACTCCATATGCCATCTACAATCTTATCCCCCCTTCAGTTAAATTGTCCCTATCGCTTTGAAGTATTTAGGTATCAATCTTACTTCCTCATATCACTCCCTTTATGAAGCTGGTTTCTCCCCTCTGTTTCATGCAATCTCTCAATCTTTGAAATCCTTGGATAATCTTGCCATCTTCTTCCTTGGCTGGATTAATGTGCTTAAAATGACCATACTGCCCAAACTTCTGTACCTGTTTTAGACGCTTCCTGTTCCTATTCCCATGACCAAGCTGCGTTCCCTCCAGGAAATCCTTCCTCCATTTCATCTGGCATAATAAGTCACACCTCATTGCTGTACTGTCCTCCTCTCTCCTTGGTCTGGGGGGGGGTCCCCAGACATTGTGTCATATTATTTGGGTACTCACCTTCATGCCCTGGTCTCGTGGTCTTCCCAACAACCCCTAATAACTGGGCAGATATTGAGTAGCTACAGATAAGTCCAACACACCCCTGCTCTCTACTCTGGTCCTCAATCAACACTAAAATCTCCTCTGACAAAATGTCTCCTGCTCGGGCCCATGCATTTCATGTTATCTTTATGGAGGCGGTGTAGGGTTAGATATGCTCTGGCTTCTCAATGTTCCCCCCCTGACCAATGTTATACTTAATCCTAGTCTCCCAGATAGCTTGGCATTGACTGGGCTGTGGTGAAGGTTATAGCAGAGATTAGAAGAATGGAACATCTCACTGCTTTACATGCTAACGCTGTCCCCACCTTTGAGGCAGTTTGGGAACCGTGAGATCTTTTCATTTCTGATTTACCTGATGGACAATTCACTGTTATGTACTGACATTGTATGTACCTATATACCTCTCATCGATGAGCCTCTTTCTTTCTTTGTTCTTTATTGCTTATTTCACGATTTATGCAACTCACCATGAAAGACCACCTAGAATTTTCCAGGGCCCATGCTGAAAAAGACAAAGACTACTGGGACTCTGTACTCTGGAGTGATGAGACCAAAATTTGGAAATGATGGCTTCAAAACTGTATGGAGTTACAATGGTGAGGAGTACAAAGAAAAATGCATGGTGCCTACAGTGAAACATGGTGGTGGCAGTGTCCTTCTGTGGGGCTGCATGAGTGCTGCTGGTGTTGAGGATCTGTATTTTATTGATGGTATCATAAATTCACATATGTACTGCTCTATATTGAAAGAAAAGATGCTACCATCAATGCATGCAACACACATCTAAGGCCACTGTTGCAAGAAGAGGGTGATTCAGTGGCCAAGTATGTCTCCTGATCTGAACCTATTTGAATACCTATGGGGAATTCTGAAGAGATGAGTTGAGCATCACTCCATCCAGCATTTAAAAGAGGTTGTTTTTGAAGAATGGAAAAAGATAGATGTTGCAATAAGTTGCCAACTTGTTCATTCTGTGCCTAGAAGACTTGGTGCTGTGCTTACAAATCATGGAGGTCATACAAAATACTAGATGTAGTAGTTTTTTGTTGTGGGGTGTATTAATTTTTACATCAACTAATTTGAATAAAACTGAAGATTTTGTAGTCTAAGTTATATTATTAACCTTACTTTCATGTAATGAGCTAAACAAATGTTCTATAAAACTCAGTTTTTTTTCAAAATTCTGGAAATTGTTCTTTGAGATATTGATTAAAATCTTACTTTTCAAAAGGGGTGTACTCATTTATGCTGAGCACTGTATGTTCTCACTGATAGCCTGCAGCTTCCCTCCTGTCCACGATGACAATGCCAGCTCACATAGTGAGACCAACAGAAAATGTTTGTAGTGATTATGTAAGTACATTCTGTATTGATTGTGAACATGTCTAATGTCAATATGTACAATATGGTGACAGGAGATGTAAGCCACATGGGGTTTATTTACTAAAGCAGGAGAGTGCAAAATCAGGGGCACTTCTGCATAGAAACCAATTTGCTTCCAGGTTTTATTTCCAAAGCTTGAGTGAACAAGTTGAAGTTAGAAGCTGATTGGCTACCATACACAGGTGCATCAGATTCTGAGTGAACCAACTTTAGTAAATCTCCCCCATGGTGTAGCACTTCTTTTATTATGCATAAATACATTTTTGAAGCCTAAATGTGTGTAATCTCCAATCAATCCTTTTAATACAATATTATGAAAATGAAATTGACTCATTGTAATTGGCATTTATGTAGTCTAATGTATAAAGGGTTAACACAAATGTATGGCTGCTACCCCAGGACTGGCCAAGCTAAGTCAGAAAGGTACAGTGAGTAGAGGATAATCAGTGAAGACTTATTCATTGATTGTCCCCTTTGCATTGTGAACCTGCATATGAAATCCACTGAGCACTTCTGGTTTCACAGCTGTCAGGTTGAGCACTGTCTGTGATGATTTTATTAATCTAATCCTTTTTTCTTTCTTGCACATGATTATTCTTTTTAACCACTTGACGTCAAGGGGTTTATTAACTAAAGCTGGAGAGTCCAAAATCAGACTCCCTTCTGCATAGAAACCAATCAGCTTCTAACCTCAGCTTGTTCAATGAAGCTTTGGCAATGAAACCTGGAAGCTGATTGGTTTCTATGCAGAAGGGAGTCTGATTTTGGACTCTCCAGCTTTAGTAAATAAACCCCCAAGTGTCCACTAGACGTCTGGCACTGGATTGCAAGGGTGATATCGCTGAAGTGAGATATCATTTTTAGCGCCAGCGAATCTGCTTCTTGGAAAAGTAATTGTAACAACTAAAGAACCGCTGGATTACTTTTACAGGTGGTAGAAGGGGTCTAGGAAGGATGCCACTGGTGTCATCAGTTTCCCTGCAACACATTGCGAGGGACTAATTTTGTTTCTCCCACTGTGTGATGTCAGAAACTGAAAGCGATGAGGATTTTGTCACTTCAGGTTTTGGTTCCTTAGTTTACAAGCTATTTCCGGCTTGTGTAACAGCAGATCAAACTGATGTAAGTTTTATCTGCTGCTTTGAAGGCCAGAGGAGAGATCTGGGATCTATGAGACCCTAAAGAGGACCTGTCATGGCCCATGCTATCACATTTGCAACTTAACTGACCAGTAATGTTCACTGATACAGATTCAAAGAATGCACCATTTTTCTTTGAAAAAATGTATTGTTTATTTGGTACACATGTCATTTCAGGACAAATATATGTTAAATAATGTAATAAAATAACCACTTATTGCCATGAACCAGGCAAACAGGCCTGAACCAGGCAAAAAGTGATACAAAATTTCTTTGGTATAAAATAATACCCTTTATTCCCCATTTGACTTCTTTTTATAGCATTTTCTACAGTTTAAAAAAATTCTCTGAGCAGAAACATGGATGTTGATACTCTTGCATGCTTGTTACCAATACAGTGGCACCTATCCAATGTAAAATAACAGATATAAGTGAAAAAGGAAAAACCTCCGCTACACCCAGAAAAAAAAAAACATTTCAAATTAATGACAATGAATAAATAAATATGTGAATAAATGTAGTGAACTGCTGCTACTCTTTTCTTGAACACCAGAAAAATGCAAAACATATATAAAGTGAGTGCATGGAACACTAAACAATCAGATGCAAAGACCAAACATAGTATATCCACAAAATAATAATATAACAAAAAATATATTGCTAAAGAGCTCTAAAAAGTCCAAATTCATATAGTAAATAAATAAAAGTCCCAAATCCAGTGACACAGTGCTCTGTGCTGAAAAATCTTCCAACAAAAGTGTATAGATGTCCACAAGTGCTTGACACAACGGAAAAATCAGCCTCTTACCAGACACATTGATCTCCAATCAAGAGATCAAATGAGCAGACGGTGTTCAGATCCAACACTGACACCCATGTTAGCAGTATCAAGGAGATGAATAACAGATATACAAGTGAAAATAGAATAAATGCAGATTCCAAATGATGCCGCTTCCCCTTTAAGTGTGAAACACTAGTGATTTAATATGCTAAATAAAGAAAGGTGCTTGATAAATTCCTAATAATACATCAAAAATACACAATTACAAATTTGTGCTGGGTAGAAAACAAAAAAATTAGAAATAAAATAAAAGTAGAAGTCTGTAACCCAACACCACACAATGATGTAAGTCATTCAATGGATGTGAGATCAAACCAATCTCCCCAACTCTTCACCACTTGTGGCCCCAAAAAAATGTGCACTCACTAGAGGGTTTTGCCCCCTTTTTACAGGTAGGTCAAACAGCATATGATCTCCCAAGGGTGCTTTAGGTCAAGTAGTGGATTCCATGCACTTCTTCAAACAATCAGCTTAATATGGCATACTCAGTAATGAAGCAGGGAACATCCATTAAAAGCATCCAAGTGTAGTAGTATATAGTTAAGGTATTGCACCCAAAAAGTAAAAATATACACTCATATTACAGGGTGCCTATATTACCAGAACCAGTGTATACAGTCTATATTGGATGTTAGTCACCGCACTGCCTCCATTGGCCATTGTACGTTTCAAGCCTCCGTTCCATGGGCCAGATTTGACATCATACGAGACTTGGAAGTGACGGTCCAGTACGTTTCACATACGTAGAAGAGCTGGGACCGACACTTCCTGCTGAATTTTGTTCACAATTTGGCAAACCTGAACTTGAAGGTGAATCCTATTGAAATCTCTGGAAGGCAAATCTTGTTAAATTCTGGCCATTTTTAGGACTATTAGGCAAACTACATAAGAAAACCTGCAAAAATGTGCAATATAGTGAGCGCTACTAATAGAATAATCAAGTAAGCAGCTAATAGCACTGAAGATGATCACAACCACCGTCGGTATAAATAAAATAAACAAAGTGCAGCGCTTTATAAAAGAAAACCTGACCACAAGAAGCTGGGCACTGCAATAGTGGACATTTACAAATATAAAAAATGTAAAACAAAATACTGTACAGCAGAGAGAGTGGGTTTTCTCAAAAGGCCCAAGAGCAGCATTGAAAATACACAAATCCTTACATGACATACTTGGAGGATGCCTTAAAGCTTTAAGTAGTGTTATGGAACAGTGCAATTCTCATGGACGGTCTCAGCAACAACATACACTGGCAGTGCATATTTTGATGCAGAATTCATTTTTTTTTAATTATTATTTTCATGTCTTACGCGGCAGCACACCAATTTGATTAATTTCATTTCCAAAAAAGGCTTCCTTCAGGTAGCTTTACGAGAGGGGGCTGAAAAGTTCCTGGCCCGACCAAGAAGGAAATGTGCAATGAAACTTGCCTGCTATTCTACATACACTATATTGTCAACAGTATTAGGACACCCCTCCAAATCATTGGATTCAGGTGTTCCAATCACCTCCATGGTCACAGGTGTATAAAATCAAGCACCTAGGCAAGCAGACTGCTTCTACAAAGATTTGTGAAAGAATGGATCGCTTTCAGGAGCTCTGAATTCAAACATGGTACCGTGATTTGTTGTCACCTATGCAATAGGTTCATCCGTGAAATTTCCTTGCTACTAAATATTCCACGGTCAACTTTTAGTGGTAATATAACAAAGTGGAAGCAACTGGGAACAACAGCGACTCAGTCACGAACTGGTAGGCCACGTAAAATGGCAGAGCGGGGTCAGCACATGTTGAAGCGCACAGTGCGCAGAAGTCACCAACTGTCTGCAGAGTCAATAGCTAATGACCTTCAAACTTCATGTGGCCTTTAGATTAGCACAACAACAATGCGTAGAGAACTTCATGGAATGGGTTTCCATTGCCAAGCAGCTGTATCCAAGCCTTACATCACCAAGTGCAATGCAAAGCGTCAGGTGCAGTGGTGTAAAGTACGCCACCACTCAACTCTAGAGCAATGGAGATGTGTTCTCTGGAGTGATGAATCATGCTTCTCTGTCTGGCAATCCGATGGACGTGTCTGGGTTTGGTGGTTGCCAGGGAAACGGTACTTTCCTGATTGCATTGTGCCAAGTGTAAAGTTTGGTGGGGGGGGGGAATATGGTGTGGAGTTGTTTTCAGGGTTTGGGCTTGTCCCCTTAGTTCCAGTGAGGGGAACTCTTAAGGCGTCAGTTTGGGGATGGCCCCTTCCTGTTCCAACATGACTGCGCACCAGTGCACAAACCAAAGTCCACAAAGACATGGATGAGTGAATCTGGGGTGGAGAAACTTGACTGGTCTGCACAGAGTCATGACTTCAACCCAGATTTGGGATGAATTAGAGCGGAGACTGTGCGCAAGGCCTTCTCGTTTGACATCCGTGCCTGACCTCACAAATGCGCTTCTTAAAGAATGGGCAAACATTCTCATAGACACACTCCTAAACCTTGTGGACAGCCTTCCCAGAAGAGTTGAAGCTGTTATAGCTGCAAAGGGTGGGCCAACTCAATATTGAACTCTACGGACTAAGACTGGGATGCCATTAAAGTTCATTTGCTTGTAAAGGCAGGCTTCCCAATACTTTTGGCAATATAGTGTATTCTCCCCTAAGTTCAACACACTTAACACATCATCTCTCCAAATTTCTTTAAAGTGTCACCAATCCCACAACAGTAAAATCAGTCTGTATATGCAGTAAAGCATGCTTGTTATACTCACTGTGGAACCTAAGGAGTTAATCCTCTGCATTGTGTAAAAAGGCAGTTTGATCCTGTCCTCTCTGCCCCTCCTTTATATTCAGATGTCCATGTCTTATCCCCTTATAAGACAGACTGAGCCTGTAGCCATTCTGCACATACTCAGTTTAGTGTGTATTGCTAGAGTTTTTTTTTTCTTGGGAGAGTGCATGTGATTAATACAGGGCCAATCAGCACTGTCCAGACAGAGATCATGGGTTTTTGCATCCTTCTACAAGCTGTAACCAGTGCTCTGCTGAACACTGATAGAAGTCACAAGACTGCTCTAACTGCTGATGAGAAAAGATATTTAGCAGTTAATATTTACTAAAATAATTGTACTTCCATGTTCTGTGTACTGTGGGAGACCAGATATAGTGAATGCAGGGTCCTGGGTTTAGTAACCCTTTAAGCACTTGCCACAC